GAGGTGCAGAAGGAGTGATATCGGGCGAAGGAACAGAGGAAGAGGGTGTGACAATGGAAGTAGGGGCAACAAGAACAACAAGAGAAGAGGAGCCAGTTTAGAGTGATATTGCAAGTTTTCTATTAGTTTATTTGTGTCGATACTGTATCTCTCTGGGAGGCAAAACTATTTTCATTGTCTTTTAGAGCCTTCTTTGTGCCAATCAAGAAAGGCTTGCCCTTCTTTTCTCCCAATTTTGGAACCTTTAGATTCCAATTGGCTGTGTAGAAAAAATTAATTTTTGTCATTTCACAAATACCCCAAAAGGCTAGCAGTTTTCAAGACTTTTTCTTACTTGGAATCATGACATTGTATCAGATGTAACACACTACTGGGTTCATAGTTGTCCACCTGTAAGCAATGGGGGTTCTAACAGGGAGACCCAAATGCCATTTGGAGTTAGCATTACCCATCTAACCAAGGAAATGTGCACATAAATCAGAGATACCGAAGCTTAATGCACCTCCAAAGGAAAGAAATAAAAATAAAATAGCCCTGCTGTTTTAACAACTAACAAGGCTACTACATGATGTTCAAGAAATGAACAGAGGTTAAAAAAAAAAAAGCAGAGACTGAATAACTCCTCAGTAAACCTTTACACAGGAGCTCTGGTAGTATAACGCCTAAGGCATTTGACTACTAACCAGAAAGCTGGCAGTTCAAACCCACCAGCCACTCCTTGGAAGGAAGGTTGGGCAATCTACTTCCATAGAGATATCGCCTCAGAAACCCAAGGAACAGTCGCTATGAGTCGGATCTGACTCTACAGCAGTGCATTTGGTTTGGTTTGGAAACCTCTACACAAAAGAGTGGAAGTTCCTTCTGAGAAATTGTGGAGTCCAAGGCCTCTGAGAAGTGGAAAGAAGGCATAAAGAGCCTTCAGACTGGCATCAGAAACTCTGGTCCACAATTCTTGGGTTCTCTACAGATGGGCTGCTTTTGGAATCCTGGACGACCCCCTAACTTGTTATAGTGATAAAGTCCACTTAGTCCTTAAAATGAAATTAAGAGGATTCATTTAGAGAAAAAAAGAAAATGGTACATTCAAATGAAGGGAAGCACCAGCTCACATAAGTGAGAACTGATGGGTGCAATGAAAAACTTTCCAACAGGAAAAGTTATAGTTCAAGGAACAAATAACTTATAATACAATAGTTTGATTAGTTAGTCTTTGGTTGAAGTCACAAGAATGGGTAGGAGATAGGGAATGGGCTTCTAATGGATAATTGGATACAGAGGCTTACAGTGATTGATTTCAGTGACTAATTGCAGAGGTTTTGAATCATACTTCCTATCCTTCAGGAGGGGTCATAAAAACATCACTCAAAAAAAAAAAAAAACACCTACCATCAAGTCAATTCTGACTCATAGCAATCCTCAATGAGTTTCCAAGGCTGTATGTAAATCTTTACAGAAACAGACTGGCTCATCTTTTGAAGAGTGGCTGGTGGGTTTGAACAACTGACCTTCTGGTTAGCAGCCAAATACCTTAACCACTGCACCACTAAATGTTAAAAAGCTCTAACTAGAAGTCAGGATTTGTGATGACAATTTTGTACCAGGATTTTATTTCCTAGAAACAACTTGTTAAACAAAACCCTTCTAAGTTGTCTGGAAAGCTTCTTGTAAGGCTTACTCCAAAATGCTTTGAATATTTCTTTGGCCTACTTTGCACAAAAGCACCTCTGTCAAAATTTTCTTCCTTAGATTGTATTTCTTTTACATCCTGGAGAAATACTCTCTCAATTCCCACAGCTGCTAGTAATTAAAGAGCTAAATGGCAGGTGTGTGTGAGGGTAGCCAGGCAGATAAAGAGTCTTGGGCAGGCATGTAAAAAGACCCGTTTAATTCACCAAAAATTGAGTGTAATGCAATCATTTATTCTTGGTCAAAAGGCTTCATGAACTCTTCCTTTACATGACTAATAAACAAAGTTCCATTTTATTATTATCTGGGCAACTTTTGGTATTCCAATACAAAGGTCTGATAAAGTTGAATTAGAGTCTTAGCCTTAGCATAGAATGTAAATAAAACTTCCTGATACACT